TCTAGGAATAAACCATTGATGATCATGAGGATCTTGAACAAATATTACTTGTTGAGCTTGGCCTGCAAATACAAAAGGTTCATGACTTTCCCGATCACCGGAGTGTATTAAATGTGAGAAGTTCACAAGTGTGAAACCGAACCCATCTTCCTTGACTCCTCTACCTTGGGTTACATCAACCCAATCACATCTAAATAAAACAACCTTAAATTCTTCAAAGTAATTCAACTCCACAATATCATTCAATCTACCATAATAAGTGATATCTGTGGACTTCGGAGCATTATCACTTGTACTTGCATAACTCTGTGTCTTTGAAACAACCATGACACCATTATTTTGGGTCTTCATGCCCTCTTCATATTGTTTTGTTCGAAATCGATACCCATTATTTATATCGAATGCTTTGAATCTTCTTGCAATGTAACTTGGACCTTGTGCAAGGGCTTTTAGATCATTTTGGACATCAAATACGAGCTCCAATCCTTAACCTAACCATTAAGTAGTATTTATATATATATATATACACAAACACACAACTAGGGACGATAAAAATACCCACACTCGCAGGTATCTGCGGGTAAAATTCGCTATGAATAATAAATTGATAGACTAATTGGGTACCTGCGAATAATGGGGATGGATAATTTTTTACTTGTTTATAAATGGGGCGGGGGTGGATATGATGATATCCATACCCCTGGGTACCCATTTAATAATATTTCTTAAATATCCTAATTATCATTTTACCACATAACCCTAAAACTACATTCTTTCATCTTATTTTCTTGCACAAGTGAGGTTGATGAAGTTACCAACATGTGTTAAGTATGTTATAGAATTATGTTGGACGTAATTTGATTAATTTTCTAGCTTTGATTGAACCAATAAGATTTATGTATTTTAAGTTGTTTACTTTCATTTGGAATTATGAGATTGAATTATTGTAGTTTTGTGATATGAGACTTTCATTTATGAGATTGATGTATTTTAATTTATTGATTATCTTGCATTTTTATTATTATTTCAACAAAATTAATGTTAAATACAAATTCAAAATTAACATTGAATTTTTATTTTTATTATTTCAATGACATTAAATATAAACTTAAAATTATTTGTAATATAATTTTTTTAATTTTTTAAAAAATTTATAAATATCCGTGAATATCCATGGATATCCGTGGGTATTCAAAAATTTTATGAATACCCGCTCAATAGATACTCGCACGGATATGAGGTGGGTATGAGGTCAATTTTATCCAGCAAGGCGGGGACGGGTTTACTATTACCCGCCGCCATGGAGCCTCATTGCCATCCCTACACAATCCTAAGTCATTAGATGATTTCTCGCTGCTAGTAGTGTATTGTCTAGTGTAGGGACCAATGACGAGTTATTACATCTAGAAATAATAATAATCTTTATAAAAAAACTATGAATGTAGACAAAATGGATATTATTTCTTAAAATAGTTTATTTTATGCTTAAAGTCAAGATTTAACTCTAAGCATTATATGTAAAATAGTTATTTTAAATATTAGAAAAGAAAATATATTATAAGCAATCTGTAAAATGCAAAATAATGACAATTAAGTTAAAAAGACCGCAATTCACATTTCAAATTTTATATATTGCTACATATACATGACCCATTTAATGCATGAGTGTTGTAAAATGGTATAAATCACATGATTTTCGAGATTCTAAAAGATATAATTCTCTGGGAGTGAAATTGTTCTATAACTCCTCTAGTATTAACAATAAAATAGCAACTGTATCTAGAGTATAGATTTGATATGCACTTTGAAGAAGATATAGTAAAATATATTGTGAATTTATTTATGCATTAAAATATTATTTCAATAACTTGTGGTTAGAATATGATTCAAAATCTATATTGTTAATTTTTAAGAATGATTGCTTTGTCTCTTGGAGTATTTGTAGAAGACGACAAAACTGTCTTTATTTCTTTTAATTTTCTTTATTCTTCCGCTTTTTTTTTTTCTGTGGGTTTTGGCCTAGGTCCCCCACTCTTACTTTTTATTAAAAAAAAATATTTCCATAGATAAGTCATAAATAGATTATTAGAGTAAGTACGTTTCATAAATTTCTTTGTAAGAAATTAATTTAATAGTTTATTATGCAATATTTACTTAAAAAAGAAATTGAGAAATAAGATCAATATTGACCGCTTAGTTAAAAATACTCATGTCTTCTTCAATACTTTTTTTTATTATAAATAAACTGTATTTTAGAATTCAAAATTCAAATAACTTATTTATAAATAATTACACTTAATTAAGAAGCATCAAAATTGAAACATTTTAATAAAATAAATATTGTAGTAAGAAATATAAAAAACTTTAGTAGAATGTAAGGAACTAAGGATTGATGACGTGATTTCGTAGTACAGATTATTTATGTTGACACGCATGTTTTGATATGAAAAAATGTTTAATTTAATAGGTCAATTTCATGATTTACATTTCAAAATTTATATATTAAATAGATAGGTAAATAGACAAACGAGTCACTATATTTAAAAAAAAAAAAAAAAAAAGCCTTAAAAATAAATGATAAGATAATTTAATGATTATCTTTGGTCAAAACAAAGTAACGTTTAAAAAGGGAACCATTAATTTATACATTAATTCTCTCTCCCTATCTTATCCATCCATGATCACAATTCTCTCCCAAATGGGTTTTCTCATCACATTCTCGTGTTTTTCACTTTTTTCTTTCCTTCAATGTCTCTTAACCACCACCTCATGCGACTCCATCCATGGAGGTAAGCCAGGACAACCTAATTCACATTGCCATGGATGTTGAAACCTCGGAAAACACATTGTTTGAAGGGTCTTTCATATGCCATAGTGCATTTAATCAAATCAACTCCAAGGGAATTTGGTTTGGAGATGATCCACTTGCATATTCTCTCCCTCTCTTCTTGCTTCAGTTTTTCCTCATGTTTATATTCACTCGCTTCATTTACCTTATTCTCAGGCCCCTTGGTCAATCGTCTTTTGTTTCTCAAATTCTTGTAAGTTTGCAAGCTTTCCATTTCCTAATCTTCATGTTCAAGTATGATTTGATGTTGAATTATTTGGTTGATCTTTTATTGGCTATTATGATTGATACAAATAACTGAGTTTGTTTGAAAACTGATAGCTTATTATATAAATTTTTCAAAGAGATTTTGTGAGAGAATATCATGTCCAATTTGTGAATAACAATGTCCATTGTCAAAATCTATTTTATTTAATAATACAAAATCATAGATGAAAGCTGCCAAAAGGAATTTTCATAGGTCTAACTCCCACTATTTGAAGTCTTTTATGAAAGCACCCATATTTGCTAAACAATTTGATTATAGGATTCATTTGCAAATTATTCAATTAGTCACATTGGTGCGACGTCCTCCACAACTTTTTTATTGAATTTTTTTTTTTTTGATGTATTAACTTAATAGTCACCTACTAAATTTATTTTCTAGCAATTTTTCCTATTGATAATGTTGGGTATCGAAATTATACAAGCAATTTCAAATAGTTACAATAGTAATTGATATGCAATATTTTAATCTGAAAAATCTCCAACTAGTAAAGGAAAACCACTAGTAAGACTAGAAAATGTCTTTACTAAATGAAAGAAAGTTACATTCTAAATCTCAATATAGGAAAAGAGTAATTTCATGAACACTAATAAGACTATATATGAACTTTCTCATTGGAATGAGATGCATTTGAATGAAGGAATTGCCCTTATTTATGAATACCTTTTATAAAATGAAATCAAATTAGTATTTATGGCTTCAATTAAATTGATTCTTCAATAAACTTCTTAACTCTAGCTTGTGGAGGTGATGAAATTTTTTTGCCTTATGTATTATTTTCCTTTTTCAAAGGAGCTAAAGTGGATTTATCTTGCCAACACAAATTTCATTTTTTATTGATCATTGACAACCTATCTATCTATATTTATTGTAAATAGACAGTTTTTTTTCTTTCTTTTCTTTGTGCTCTGGTGTTTACTGAAACTAGAAGGCTAGTTACATATATCTAATTCATTTCTTTAATTTTTTTGTTAACTAGGGTGGTATGACTTTAGGTCCTTCTATTCTTGGGCACAACACTACATTCATTGAAAAGGTTTTTCCCCCCAAAGAAAGACATGTGCTTGATACCATAGCCTTTTTTGGTATTATGTTATCTACCTTCCTAACTGGGGTAAAGATAGATCCAACAATTGCTTTTACATCAGGTAAAAGGACATTTGCCATAGGACTTTTAGCCTACTTTGTTCCTTATACTTTTGCCACAACAGTTGTCTATATCCTCAATCGATTTGCATCATTGGACAATGATGTTTTTACGGTGCTCCCAATTGTGGTGGAACTTCAATGTATTGCAACCTTTCCAGTAATTACTCGTTTTCTTGCTGAACTTCACATCTTAAATTCAGAGATTGGACGGTTGGCAACTTCTTCTTCGTTAGTGTGTGATGCCTGCTTCATCTTAATTATGACAATAAAGTTTGTTGCAAATTTATCCTTCACAAAGTCAATAGGAGTATCAATTGGATCTTTATTATCCACCGTTCTACTTCTTTTGTTCATTATCTTTGTAGTTCACCCAACTGCAATATGGGCAATTCAACAATCACCAGAAGGAAAACCAGTTCAAGAAGCTTATATTTATGGGATTCTCATAATACTAGTATTTTCGGCATTCATAGGTGAAGTCATCGGTGTAAATGGAATCATTGTATCATTCTTGGTGGGTTTAGCTATACCAGAAGGTCCACCATTAGGAGCAGCATTGGTAGATAAGCTCGAATGTTTTGTTTCAATGGTGCTCATACCTATCCTTTTTGTTATAGTTGGATTAAGGACAGATGTGTTTGTCATACAAACGATAAAGACCTTAGCTGCAATTCAGTTAATCATTTTCATTGCTTTCTTTGGAAAAATTTTAGGGGTTTTGTTGCCTCTCCTTTTCCTTAGGATCCCATTTCGAGATGCATTTTCTCTTGGTCTTATAATGAACTGCAAAGGCACTCTTGAACTAGCCATGTTGATTGCCTTGAAATTTAAAAATGTGAGCAAAAGTTTTAATTCTAGTGCACATCACAATTTAAAAAAGTTTTTGTTTTGTTAAACTCAATTAAAAGTTGCATTTCTATGAATTTGCAGGTCTTGGATGATGAATGCTTTACAATTTTGGTTCTTACTTTAGTGCTTGTAACTGGTATTATATCACCTCTTGTAAAAGTTCTATATGATCCTTCTAAGAGGTTTATTGCTTATAAAAGGAGGACAATTATGCATCACAAAAATGGTGAACAATTCCGCTTACTAGCTTGCATTCACAATCAGGATAATGTTTTGGCAATTTTGAACCTCCTTGCATCTTCAAATCCAACTGAAGCATGCCCTTTTGATTTAGTTGTGCTTCATCTTATTAAGCTTGTGGGGCGAGCTTCTTCTCTTCTTGTTGCACATATGCCGCGTAAAAAGCTTAGTGAACATCCAACTCAATCTGAAAAGATTTTCAACTCATTCAACAAGTTTGAAGATGCATATAAGGGTAAGGTCACATTGCATTGCTATAAGGGCATTTCTCCTTATGCTACTATGCACAATGATGTGTGCTACTTAGCACTTGAAAAGAGAACAACTTTTATTATCATACCTTTTCATAAGCAGTGGGTAATTGGAGGAAGAAGTGAGTCATCTTTTGCTTTTAAGCAACTTAATAAGAACGTTCTAGAGAAAGCTCCTTGCTCAGTTGGGGTCCTAATTAATCGTGGCAATCAAAAGACATTTTGGTGTGGTCATACAAAGGAATCAATATATCATGTGGCTGTGCTTTTCTTTGGCGGTGCAGATGATCGGGAAACACTTTCATATGCAAGACGCATGTTAGATCAACCTTATGTACATATTACTCTTTTTCATTTTTCATCTTCAACGGATATTATTGGTGGATCAGAAAGGAGCAAAATGCTTGATACCCAAATCTTGAGTGAGTTTAGGCTAAAGGCCTTTCGGAATGAAAGAGTTTATTTCAAAGATGAGATAATAGTGAATGAAAGGGATGTGCTTTCAGTAATTGAATACATGGAAAATTGCTATGATCTTGTCATGGTTGGGAGAAGGCATGCAGACTCAAAATTAATGACTGAACTTAGAAAATGGAAGAACGGAGAGTTGGGGGTTGTCGGAGAAATCCTTGCCTCTTTAAATATTGGAGCCCATACATCAATTTTAGTGGTGCAACAACAAACTAGATTTTGGGGATCACGTGATCCAGAGGAGTCCACACATTTAAGAAAAGTAGATATATAACAACAATTAGGATTTTACACCAACAAATATATATAAACCAATTGTATTTTAGAAATGAGTCATGTAACTATAATAGCGTGCTTCCAAATTTAATTGTCTTTTCTTTGCCTTTATTTTCTTTTTTCCTTTGCATTAGCTTTTAGTCACTTAATTTAGTTGACACTCAACAATGTTTAATATATATGTTCATTTTTCTAATATATTTTTTTATCTAGAGAAATCAAATTTGGTACTAGGAAGTTATAACAACTCAAACATATTTTTCAACAACCTAAGTTAGACATCTTGGTTCATTTTCAAATATATACTCTAAAGACAATCCATGGTAAAAAAAATTATTATTCATTGAATAAATCAATATAATTGTACATCATTTTCTTATAATGGTAGGCAACTTCTTAGCATGCAAAAATTAAGCGATTGCAAAGATCATCATAATCTTCTTAACACAATGATTAGTTTTATTAGAAAGATCTCTATATTTTCAAAATTTTGCATAAAATAGTTTCTTTGTGATTTCTAAATAAATGCACACACAACTAAAAAAGTCATCTCCTATCGATTTTTATTTTACGTATTTAATGACTTTGAGAAAATATCATCTCTTTCGGTAAACAATGGATCAAACAATGACTTAGGTACCAACCGCGTTTTTCTAAAATATCATTTTAATATTTAGTAATGATGGTATTATAAACATGATCACCTTTAAAACTGAGGCCATGGAAATAACTAATTCTAGCATATTTTGGTCATCTAATTTGTTTCATATGCATGTTACTATGATGTAAAGGTGCATTCGGTCGATTCACGCTATGACTTTTACAAGATTATGATGATGGTTGCTGGTGATTCTCAACTAATTAGCCATATAGGAAAAATAGTTTTTACCAAAATTACACTTGTTTATGTTTATTTCACAAAAATAATTAATTACAATATGCTTGATCAAATAATTGGCTTATTTTTAGAAGCAAAACAAAATGATTTTTATAGGAAATACTGACTTGAATAGATGGGCATGCTGATATAAGTTAATTATTTTTCCTATTCACTAATAATAATTTAGACTAACAAGGCAACATGTTATATTTTTTAATTTGATGGGCATATTCTAAGAAAATATATACAATTTCATGTCAATTTAGATAGTTTGCTTTTAAATTTGATAATGCTGATTAGAGTCTAATTTATTTACAAAAAATTAACTAGTTCAGATTGTCTTTGTATATATACAAATAACTAGTTCATACAAAAAAAAAAAAAAAAAAAAAAGAAGCAAAACAAAAGCAAAAATATTAAGATGCAAAAGAGTAAATATGCATCTCATAAAGGCTAATGGCTTGGATCCGATAAAGGGCATGTGCCAAAATGTTGTATTGGGGTATGGAGAGGGACATCATTGTAAAATCTCAATTGCTCTCCTTGGACCGAATATTTTAAGGAGATTCAAATTATAAAAATAATCATTGTTTTTAGCATTTTGAAAGAGATGTGAACATATGATATGAGAGATGAGATGAAAATATGATATGATATTAAAAATTGTAGAGTTCAAAAATATTGTAGCAACTTTTACATACTCTTATAATATACTATTCATCTTCGTATTATGTGGTCTTGTATTGTTACAAATCTTATGTGTGCATTCGTGCACATGCATTAAATATTAAGCTATATTGATGGGTCTTTATCTTTTTATCTTGAATACAGGAAAAAAAATTCCTAATTTATATTAACATACCTAATTTCTCATTTCATACTAAAAATTAAAGATTTTATTTTTATTTTTAAATTCCTATAGTAGCTTCTGCCTACTATATTAGTGGGTGTGAATTTTGTGAAGGCACTCACTTACAAGAATAGTATGGATTAGTGGTCGAGGAACCTCAACAAGAGATCCGAGACAGAGAACAACACTAGAAAAATACATATGGCCACTCAAAACAAGCACTTTGGCACTTAAGCAAACAGAATTTGTTCAAAGTTTTCACAAATTTGCTTTGAGCGAGTAAAGACAAAAGATGATCTTAGACGTATTCACTTAGTTGCTTAGAGTGAACAACATGGGTGCTCTAAGTGACTTGACTCAACCTAAAAGCCCATCAGAAGTGATCATAAAAATTAGGGTTTCAGGAGGTCTCTTGGAAGAGTTTGGATTCTAATACATTCTTTTTAGTAAAATTTTAGAGATTAAAGAGGGTTCTGTGAGATCAACATTATAATCACGAATCACTCAAAGATTCATCTAGAGTTATAATCCTTAGTTATAAGTGGCTAAGTTCTCCATTGTTGAAGATTGAAGTAACTACTGAAACTATGTAATTTAATTTTTTCATTCAATAAAAGTATTATTCAATTAATCGTTTTTCTTATATTCTTAAGACTTGGTTTTGTTTGATCACCCAATGCACGATTTATTAGAATTAATTGAGGTTGGAAAACCCTTTTAAAACTATAGTCTAGAGAAAACACTAATGACATTTATTAACAAGGAATTGGAATAAACCTCGTGAGTTGACTTTTAGTATCTGATCTTAATGCAGATATCTTTAACAAAAATTAAAAAAGAATTAAGATTTTCCTTAAATGACCTAGAATTTTTCACCTAAAGAATTAGGATTTGAATACATATGTAGGTTGTTGAATTAACTGTTTAATTACAAAATTGCATGGAAAATTGATAAAATTTTACATAGAAAAAGTTAGTTAATCTATCTTTGACTACTTTTATTACATATTAAATTCATCCAAGTTACTATTTTCTTTTAATTTATGCAATCAAATATTTCTTTACGAAATTCAATTCAATCACTTTTTAATTTACCTATTTAGTATCATAGTTACATCAAATAATAATAAATGCGAGTCTTTGTGGATCGATAACTTGAACTTTTGTCCTCATTACTACTAAGTCAGTTGGTATATTTGCCAAATGTGTATCAAGGACCCATAATCTTGGATTGTGCAACACGTACCCTATTATCTTGGTCATAAATTTTGCATTTCTTTATTAAGGTAGGATCACTACTAGAAAAATTAAAATTAGAGAGGGAACAATAGTTGCTTGATGTTTATGGTGTGTGTACCTTAGACATTTTCAAGTCATGTTAGATCTTTAGTTCATGACTAGTTGCATACGGGTTTCAATGTTGATCATAGAACTGAGCTGAGTGTGATAATTTGTGGATGCATAGCCAGGTGAGGTTTGAGCCTAAACACTGATGAGTGAACTACGCTTAAGTTACATGATAGACTTTGCTTGAGTTTCCCTGGGGGTTTGCTTATGTTGTGCACTTATATGATCAAGGCATTCATATTTCTTTATTTTGTTAACCATCTAAGCCAAAAAGCCATCTCCACTTTTCACTTGACTCATACCTTCCTAAACCTAAACACCACACCTTCCACTTGTCCCAAACCATGAAAAATTAACCATAACCTTTGCTTTGGTTAAGAGAGCAAATTGATGACATCAAATAAATTTGGGGGAGTTGAAGAATGAGGAATTTGGGAAAAAGAAAGTATGTGGTCAGCCATTCAAAAAAAAAAAAAAGAAGCAAAACAAAAGCAAAAATATTAAGATGCAAAAGAGTCCATAAACATCAAGCAACTACAACCCAGAATCGACCACAAGCAAAGCAAGTATCAACAAGATTAAAAATTGTGCTAAAGCAAAATATTCACAAAAGGGAACCAACAGAGTAATCCCCAAAAAGAAAATAGATATAAAAATAGTTAAAATACTGAAAATAAAGGACAAAAAATTAAATTGCAATAAACAAAGGTAAACTAAGGTATGCTCCATCTGCTTCCATCTATGGGGTCTGGTCATCATCATCAGCAGCTGCTCCACCATCATTAATTCCATCAGCATCAGTAGCTCCACTCCCCCAAACTTAGGAGCCTGGTCCCCAGGCCAACCAGTATATGCCTGAAAGTCCTGGTAACCAGAAGTGATTGCAGAGTGTAATCATGAAAGAACATGGTGAGCACAAAAATTATACACAGTGATGACCAAGCAAATATAGCAAAAATGGAGAATATCCTTAGACCAAAATTAAGCACAACATGCATGCACACGGA